ATTGGTTTTCTTTTTTTATTATGCCATGACAATTTTTTGATTCTACTTCAATATATTGTTCTCAATTTTAAACCTTTAAAATAATAAAAAAAGCATAAGAACTAAAGAAAAAAATTCGGTAAGTAATTTGTAAGACAATTTAAAAAACTGTCAATTAAATCTTCTTTCCTTCATCATCATCTTCATTTTCTTTAGTTTTTTTGACATCCTTTTAATTGATTTGTTTTTTAAATTTTTTATTTAAATTTTTTCTCAATCTGAAACCGTTACTTTGCAGACTTTTTTGTTTGTTTTGGTCCATACTATTACCTCTTAAAATGTTTTACAATCTTTTTTTAACAAACTCTATTTTTTTTAATAATTATTTAGTAAAGGTACAAAATTTTTGCCAATACTCGTAAAAGCCACAAATAGCATTAAACAGAGTTACAATTTAGGATACAGTTTCCTTGTTTCCTAATAATAGCAAAAAATGAATAACAAGAAGTAAAAAATTAAAGAAAATCAAATGTAAATAAGCAAAAAAGTTCAAAAAAGAAAGAAAATCATCATAGTAAAATAGTAAAATAGTAAAATAGTAAAAAAACCGGGAAAAAATAAAAAATTTTGAGAAACTAAATTCGAACCAAAAAATTAAAATAAACAAACTTTAATTAAGCAACAAAAATTAGCAGAATTGTAAAAATTAAAAAAAAAATGATAAAAAATAGTACAAAAGTAAAGAAAAAAAGAGTAAACAAACAAACAATAAAATAAATGCATGCAAAAAAAGAAAATAAAAAACATTTTTTTGATTTATCTTTGGCGAAGTAAAATTAGGTAAAAATCCAAGATATTAGAAAAAAATAGAAACAGACAATTTCTTTGTCAATAAAAAAGTGGTTTTGCTCACCAAAATGAGAGTTTTTAAATTTGTTTGCCAAAATTTTTAGTGATATTTTTGTAAATTATTATACGAAACACCAATCAAGACCTAAAAATTGCATCAAAGTAAGAAAAAAATAATAAAAAAGAAAGAAAAATGAGTAAATGAACAATAAAAGTAGTAAAAAAAGTATTTGAAAAAAAATTTTGTTTAAATAATAAGACAAATGAGGAATAAATTAACCAAATAAACAACAAAAATAGTGACAAATTTGGAAAAAATGAAAAAATTGAAAAGATAAATTTAAATAAAAAATCTTGGATGCAACAAACAATTAACAGAATCAGAAAACAAAAAATTTAAAAAGTTAAATTAGGTAAAACCAAAAAGTTGGAGCAAAACAAAGAAAAAAATAAGTCAATTAAATCTTCTTTCCTTCATCATCATCTTCATTTTCTTTAGTTTTTTCGACATCCTCAGTTTTTTATTTGATTTTCTCGTTTTCATTTTTATTTTACAATCTTTTTTTAACACCCTCTATATATTTTTTTTCTAATTATTTTGTAAAGGTACAAAAATTTTGCCAAAAAAAACTTGAAAAATTATTTTTCCAACAGAAATAAATAGAGTCAAAGTAAAAAATTTAAACTTTCACAACTTCGAAATTTTTGTAGATAGAATTTTAACTTTCCATACATATCTCGAGAACGATAAAAGCCAAAAACTTGAAATTTGGTATGTAGAAAGGGGACGCAGCACGAAACATTTGGTAAAAATCGGTCGCAAAAAATAAGATATCAGGAACATGGAAAAAATCTGGCAAAATGTTTTAGATTTTAATAAAAATTAATTATAAAAATATTAAAAATTTATAAGAATATTTTAAAAAAATAAGAAAAACAGCACAACATGAAGTGAGAAGTATAAACAAAATAAAACAAAATTTGAAATTGTCAAGTAGATGTTCCGAATTTCTATTAACTTCACCGTCTTCATTTCGTAGGTTTTTTTTCTGATTTTCTTGTTTTACTTTTTTTTTCTTGTATCGTTTTTATTTTTTTTTCTCTAAATTTTTTGTTATATCTTTTCAAAATTGTTAAATTACCGTTTCAAGTTTTGTTTCTTTTTTTATTATGCCATGACAATTTTTTGGTTCTACTTTATTATATTATTCTCAGTTTTAAACCTTTAAAATAATAAAAAAAGTATTAGAACTAAAAAAAAATTGTTGAACTTATGACCAAAAAAAAAATTAAGAAACTGTCAATTAAATCTTCTTTCCTTCATCATCATCTTCATTTTCTTTAGTTTTTTCGACATCCTCAGTTTTTTATTTGATTTTCCCATTTTCATTTTGTTTTAAATTGTTTCTTAATCCGAAACCGTTACTTTGCAGACTTTTTTGTTTGTTTTAGTCCATACTATTACCTCTTAAAATATTTTACAATTTTACAATTTCGTTCACCGAAATGCGAGTTTTTAAATTTATTTGCAAAAATTCTTGGTGATTCTTTGTAAATTATTATACGAAACACCAATAAAGACCTAAAAATGGGATCAAAGTAAGAAAAAATAATAAAGAAGAAAGAGAAATGAGAAAATGAACATCAAAAGTAGTAAAAAAAGCAAAAAAAAACACAAAAGTATTAAAAAAAATATTTGTTTAAGTAATAAGACAAATGAAGAATAAATTAACTAAATAAAGAACAAAGATTGTAACAAATTAAGAAAAAAATAAAAAAATTAAAAAATTATTTAAATAAACAAATCTAGAATGCAACAAACAATTAACAAAATCAGAAAACACAAAATTTAAAAATTTAAATTAGGTAAAACCAAACAGTTGGAGAAAAACAAAGAAAAAAATAAGTTAATTAAATCTTCTTTCCTTCATCATCTTAATTTTCTTTAGTTTTTTTGACATTCTCAGTTTTTTATTTGATTTTCTCGTTTTCATTTTCTTTTAAATTGTTTATTTAAATTGTTTCTCAATTCCAAACCGTTACTTTGCAAACTTTTTTGTTTGTTTTGGTCTATACTATTACCTCCTAAAATATTTTACAATCTTTTTTTAACACCTTATATATGTTTTTTTTATAAAAAAAAAATTTTACAATCTTTTTTTAACACCTTATATATGTTTTTTTTATAAAAAAAAAAACTTCGAGATTTTTGTAGATAGAATTTTTACTTTCCACGCATATCTCGAGAACGATAAAAGCCAAAAACTTGAAATTTGGTATGTAGAAAGGGGACGCAGCACGAAACATTTGGTAAAAATCGGTTGCAAAAAATCGATTTTTTAACATTTTTTTCATATTCCTGGTACCATTGGAGCGCGATTTCTGGCACACCCTGTATAATAAATAACGTACAAACTATTCAAATAGTATTGAAGTCCTTGTCGGAAAACCGGCCTTGACAACGTATAATTCAACATCCGAATCAAACTCGTCCCTTTACTTTGTATAATCGTATCGAAAATTTGCTCAATTTGAACAGTTTTAGTAAAATCGGTTTGAATTGGATGAGTCGATTTCAAACTATCCAAACTGAAGCTTTTATACATGACTCTTACGGGAAAATCGTTGCTGCTTTGCCACCTCGGTTTCAACTAAAAGTAGTAGTAGAAAAAATCACCTATGCCCCTCGTGGTTGCATTTCTTACACTAGTTTGCACAACTTCGGCTATGAAACTCCCAATTCCCTCGTTTAGCCACAAATCGTTCCACCATTTCATCGTGACCAAATTCCCGAACCATTGGTGTGCCAAAGCGTGTGCCAAAGCGATGAAAATGTGTTGTTTCAACTCCCAGTTTCGGGAGTTTTCCTCGAGGAGGATTGAGGATTTTTGGAAGGAGAGGACGCCCCAACTCCCCATTGAGCCTCTGGCGAAGTTTGGGACGGCTAAAAGGTCGATTTTGGGGAGGGGATATTTAATCCCTAGATAATCCTCCAAGAAGATTAAGATGCTCTGGGCTGCTTCGAGGGCGTATTTCGCTTTGGGTAGGTCGCTTTGGGGGGCCCAGAGGTTGATTACAGGGCCGGTTTCGGATGAATTTAAGTGCAAATTGTGGAAGTCGCAAATTGTGAAGGAGAGGAGGTAAGTGGGCATTGGGAGGGATTTGTCGAAGTGGTCCCAGACCCAGCCTGGCCTCTCAGGGCTAAAAAATTTTTTGGGGGGAATTGAATGAAGATTTTTACATAATTTTTACTTTTGTAGTAAAGTTTAGAGTTTTAGAAAAAAATGCAAAAAAATTCGTAATTTTCTATGAAGTCAAGAATTTAAGAAATTTTATTAAAAAACAAAGTAGAAAATTGCAAAATAAGTTTGTTTTTTAACAAAAAAATAATATAAAATCTGAATAATTTTGACGAAACTAAGCAAAAATGGCAAAATTAAATTTGTTTTTTTTTCTAGAAATCCACCGAATTTAAAAAATGTGGCCAAAAACTATAAAACTGAGTAAAACATTTGTTTTTTATAAGTTTTGGAGTGTTTTTTAACAAAAATCGCTAATAATTGTAAAAAACGCAGAAAAGTTTGTTAGTTGTTCAAAATTCTAGAGATTGTAGAAAATTGCAACGTTGTGTTTTTGATGCCTTATTTTGATCAAAGGCGTAATTTTTTATGAGTCCAGAGTGTTAATACCAGAAAAGTCAAGAATATGAGAAATTTTGTTAAAAAACAAAGTAGAAAATTGCAAAATATCGTTATTTTCTATAACTTTGAGTGATATTTAACAAAAAATTTAGAAAAAAAAAACAAAGTAGAAAATTGCAAAATAAGTCTAAAAAAAACTTTATTTTTTTTTATAATTTTAAGAATAATATTTATTGAAAAACTTACAATATTTGAGTAATTTTGTCGAAACAAGACAAATATTTGCAAAATTTAATTAGATTTTTTTTAAGATTACTGAATTTAAAAAATGTTAAGATAAATCGTAAAAGTAAGTCAAAAATTTGTAATTTTTTTGGTTTGGAGTGTTTATGAACAAAAAATCGTTCAAAATTGCTAAAATGCCTAAATTCTGCTTAGGTTGAAAAATTTAGAGCACTTTTTATCAAGAAACTAAGTAAATTTGAAAGAACAAAAAAAATACAAAATTTTAATTCCAAAATGCGTTATTTTCTATTAATCCAGAGCGTATATTAACGAAAAACTCAAGAATTAATGAGTTTGTTAAAACAAAGTAAAAAAATGCAAAATAAATTTGAAAAAACGTAATTTTTTGTAACTTTGAGAGTTATTTAACGAAAAATTTACAATTGAGTAATTTTGCAAACAAGCCGAAAAATTGTAAAATTTAATTTGATGTTTTTTTAAAATTACTGAATTTAAAAAATATTGTTGAAATAAATTGTAAAAGTATTTCAAAAATTTCTTATTTTTTATTAGGTTTGGGGTGTTTTTTTAACAAAAAATCGGTCAAAATTGCTAAAATGCCTAATTTCTCCTTAGTTTGAAAAATTTAGAGCACTTTTTACCAAGAAAATAACTTTTGAAAGATTTGTTAATAAATATTATTATTAATGCAAATGCGTTATTTATACTTCTTTTTAAAAGAATTTAGTGCGTTTTATACCTAGAAATTAGGTTCTAAATTCTAAAGGTTTTGAAATGTTTTTCAATGAAAAAACGCTCAAAATTGTAGAAATTTTGCCTAAACAAAACAGAAAATTACAAAATTAGACGTGAAAACATGTTTTTGTTTGTTTTTTATGAATTTTTTTCCAAGAAAACTACCAAATTCAAGAAATTTTGTCTAAACAAAGCAAAAAATGGAAAATTTTGATCATAAAATGTGTTGTTTTTTATGAATCCAGAACGCTTATTGCTGAAAAACTCTTGAAATTAAGATTTTTTTTAAAAAACAAAGTAAAAAACTGAAAAACA